GACAGCAGCCATTGGTGCCGTTACACTGATGGTGCCACTGAAGTTTAGCTGCATTAATTGACTGATAAGGGCCTGGGCATCAAATAGCAGAGAGAAAGGCCATCGGAGATTTTCTTGCTTTTTTTCTCTCTGCACTTCATTTACATCTTAAGCCATATTGGTGATCCAGATTTGAATAAAGCCACAGCTTAAGCAGTGATTAGATCTCAATAGCCTGGATTTCTATGAAATTGCTGCATTTTTACTAGATGTATTTAGAAATACTGGTGAAAACTGACACCTTGGGTAACTTTATCATTTAAAACGGAGCTCCGAGTGGATAAAAAACCCAAGCTAAAATGGGGGTATTAGTTGTCAGGCCTTTGACTCAAGCAGTGTCAGGGGTTAGAATTAGACAAAAGCCGAGCTCAGCATGACTTGGACAACAAAGAACGCAGATAAGTCAACCTACCACCTTCTTATAAGCCTACTCTCCCCTAAAATGTTCATCGAAGCAGTGATCCCATCACCTGAAGGAAAATAGGGAAGCCAGAACGAATACATAATGCAACAAGGAGCTTTTTTTTATTTTGAGTTTTTTTTTTAATCGTAAAGCAATATTTTTAACTCTAAGGTTAACCTGCTAATCCTTAAGCTGGTGATATGACAGTGTCAAATGTGATGGGATTTTGTGATTCTCATTATTGTTATGTATTGTTCTTTCTCTGGTATTCCATATTAATATTTATAAATGCCCTTTTTATAGAAACAAGAGGACCAAAACCCATTATTAAATTTTTAAAATGGACAAACCTCGCATCCAATATAGTTGATTACAGTTTAGAACAAAAAGGATTTCGTTCAGTAGTAATCCACTTCTTGTCTCTCATTGTTGTTGATTTGTGTAGACAGCAGAGCTCCTGATGTTATTTTTTTTTAACTATTGTTTGCACAAAGTAACATCCAAATGACAGGGAATAACAGAATATTGATTGCACTCCACAAGGAGGAGGCGGAAAACCACCCCGTGCAGGTAAGAGGGCATAATGGAGAAAAGGTGAGTGTTTCAAGTGCGAAAGTCACCCACCAAGAGCAACGGCAAGATGAAACAATCGATTAAAATTTTTAAAAGAGGAGGTTGTTCATTCAGTTGTCAAGTGCCTCATTTTACTTGACAAGTGGCCTCAGAAGGGTTCAGTGGGCATGCATGTGCGTGAAGGAGGAAGTCACCATAATAAAGAGAGGCGAATCCATCATTTCCATGCCCTACCTATAGAAGAGAGTCAAAGTTGATGCCTAGTCTACCCAGTCCGTTCTCTTTTAGCACCATGGGATGCAATCCAGGGTCACAAAGGAGGAAAAAAGTCTCTTTGCTTAGAGACACTACTATGTTGCAAGATCTGGGTAGCCAAAGCCTTAAGCCTAGTGAGGAATATTTATGGAAGGAAGATGTGTATTTTTTTTTTGAGACGGAGTTTTGCTGTTGTTACCCAGACTGGAGTGCAATGGCATGATCTCGGCTCACCGCAACCTCTGCCTTCTGGGTTCAAGCAATTCTCCTGCCTCAGCCTTCCGAGTAGCTGGGATTATAGGCGCGCACCACCATGCCCAGCTAATTTTTGTATTTTTAGTAGAAACGGAGTTTCACCTTGTTGACCAGGATGGTCTCGATCTCTTGACCTCGTGTTCCACCCGCCTCGGCCTCCCAAAGTGCTGGGATTATAGGCATGAGCCACTGCGCCCAGCCAGGAAGATGTTTTATGGCTAACTGGCCCCATCACTCCCTCTGTCTCCGATAGGGCCTGCATAACTCATTGTAATTAGCAGGAGTGTGTAGGAATAATTGGTTGTGGTTTTGGGAAGGGGGTTACTGAGTGGCCTGGTTTTGCAGAGGAGAAGTCAATGGGGAGAAAAGGTAATATTTCTGCTCCTGAAGCCAAGAACCCAAAGCAGTGATAACAGATTGTTAGAAATATCTCAACTCATCCTTTTGGAGAGAAGATGTTTTCATAGCGGATATCTTTATTCTTGTTTATAATTTCTTACCCCCCTACTCAATACCTAAAGCCAGGGCTTCAGAATCAGACCTGATTTGAGTCCTGGCTCTTACCCTTCAAACTGTGTGATCAAGGGCATGTATTATTTATTTATTTATTTATTTATTTTGAGATGAAGCTTTGCTCTTTTTGCCAGGCTGGAGTGCAATGGCACTATCTCAGCTCACTGCAACCTCTGCCTCCTGGGTTCAAGTGATTCTCTTGCCTTGGCCTTCCAAGTAGCTGGAATTATAGGCATGTACTACCATGCTTGCCTAATTTTGTATTTTTAGTAGAGATGGGGTTTCACCATGTTGGTCAGGCTGTTCTTGAACTCCTGACCTCAGGTGATGCACCTGCCTCAGCCTCCCAAAAGTGCTGGGAGTACAGGCATGAGCCACCGCGCCCAGCCATAGGCATGTTATTTGGTCAAGTTTTCCTGATTATAAAATAGGGAAACTAGCACCTACTTCATGCTGTTGTGAGGATCAAATGAGAGAACTCTATCTTGGACAGATCTAAGTCTAAGACTGCTTCTGTCACACAGTAAGCATGCAAGAAATGGTACCTCTAATTAATAAATTTATGACTTGGAGATTGGAAACTGTTTCTTTGTGGATAATTTTACCTATCTTTTTCTCTCCTTGCTTGGGAATTATAGCCCATGCATGTGGGTTTTTGTAACTCTAGGTTTGCACATGCAAAAAAATAAACCAAGTGGGATATGTGGGGGCCTGGGTTGCTTGAGGAATTCCAGGCTACGTTTGGCCTTCTGGAATAAAGCACTTGGGCATTTAGTTTTAAACACATCTAAGGTGTTTTCCTATACCAATAAGGAAAGAGGAGTCCGTATTGACGGCTAGTGGTTCCGACAGTTATTCTATTAGAGTGCAGAGTTACGGCTACAGAGGTAGTGTCTCAGCTCCCAGCTGAGTAGGATTGTATGTTCAAAGCAGCAATGGCGTAATCCAATTCCAATGAAACCCAAGCGTGGTGGAGCAATGAGAAGTCTATTCATTGTGACCAGTCTTTATAGAAACTGGCCTCGCCTTCTGGGGAAATGAATCTTGTGTTTCAAGCATGTGTCATGGCCTGGGTTTGCAATGTGGCGTTAGTTCAGAAAATACACGAAGGATGAAGGCTTTTCAGACTTCTTGAAAGCTTGTCAGTCTCCCTCTCCGTGAAGCCTGTAGTGCTCTGCTGTCTTTAAGCATCTTCATTTGAGTTTCTCCTTGAGGGACTCCTCCTGAGTATGGCTGGAGAGCTTTGCCACAGGTGCATCTCTCCTTTCCACGGGGACCTCTCAGGCCTCCTTCACACTCTCCTCGGGCAGTTGGTGATCTCAGTCTTTCCCTGTCTTCCCCCTTCCACCACTTTCACTGCCTCCAAACAGTTCCTCTCCCACTGACTTATCGGAATTTGCCTGTCCTCTGGTCCCTTTCCTCGGGAGGACCCTGAAGGAGCAAGCCTGGCACTGGAGTGGAAAGCCCAATAAATGCCTGATCAGAATTAAATACACATACTCAGTAACTGGCACTAGCCTGGTGGAACAGTAACTTCTCCTCAGATAACATTGCCTTTATGCCAGGCACCTTTGATGCTCTTTCCTCCCTTGACTCAGGCCATTGTGAACTCCAGCTGTTGCTGCAGCTGCCTCCTGTACAGTTGGAGCCTGACAGCTCCCACCCCCAGGCTTCCGTCTCTCCACAGGCCTGGCGCATGCACACAAAGCCCAGGAAATGTGACAGTCAACACTCCAGAGCAAACTTTGAGTAAAGGATGGAAGAGCCAATGGGGAAACTTCACCTCTCCCATGCTTTTCTCAGTGGTTCCTCAGAAAGCCTCCCTAGGGGACTTGTCCCACTTGCCCATGGCAGTAACCAGCTCTGTAATCCACCCCTAAATGGGCTTTCCTTTCTCCTTTTTTTTTTTTTTTCTTGACGGACTCTTGCTCTGTTGCACAGGCTAGAGTGCGGTGGAGCAATCTCAGCTCACTGCAACCTCTGCCTCCTGGGTTCAAGTGATTTTCACGCCTCAGCCTCTCAAGTAGCTGGGATTACAGGCATGTACCACCATGTCTGGATAATTTTTATTAATAGTAGAGATGGAGTTTCACCCTGTTGTCCAGGCTGGTCTTGAACTCCTGTCCTTGGCCTCCTTATAGGCGTGAGCCACCGCATCCGGCCTTTGTTTGGTTCTTTCTGATTCCCTCACATCAGAACCCTAGGTAGGATGGGTTGTCAAACCATTGACACATAGGCTCTGGTCTCAGACCGTCCTTTTTGGGAGAAGCCAAGGTAAGATCTTCTTTTAAACAGAGGACTTCTTTTTTTTTTTTGCTTTTTGTTTTTTCCCAAATAAGACTTTTTATTTGCCACTATTGTAAATCTGAACTTTAAACAGGTTCTTGGACTGGTGGTTCATATCCATCAGCTCATTTAACTTTAGCACCTGTCTCGTCCCCAGTGGCTTTTCCAGAACCATGGCCTTCACCATGAAGCTCCATGAGTTTTCCCAATTCAAACTTGGGCTTCTTCAGTATTTTTACATTTCTAATGAAGACATCATGAGAGGATAAATAGACTGGCAAGCGCTTTCTATGTCTTTCCCAACGCTGTCTGGAATCAGTTTATTGACCACTTCTTTCAAAGTCATTTGTCTGCACCTCTCGGGTCATATTTCCATCATCTCCTCCCGGATTTGGCAGACCTGTTGGTGCTGAGTGTAAGAGGTCTTCCGTATCTGATTGTTGCATTTTTTAGTCAGACCAACACAGAGCAGATGAAGTAAGTAACCATTGGTAGTCTTGACATCAACATGAGCTTCAGTCATTGTCTGCCATTTTTGACCATGGAGCATATTTTGCCACGGGTAAGATCCATGCTGTGGAAGTCAGGCAGTTTTTGCCCTGAATATCTTCAGTAATCAGCTTGAATTTCCTAAATGCAACTTCATCATTCTGCAAATCAGCAAGACTACCTTCATTATTTATTTATTTACTTTTAAAGATGGGGGTTTCACCATGATGGCCAGGCTGGTCTTGAACTCCTGACCTCAGGTGATCCACCCACCTTGGCCACCCAAAGTGCTAGGATTACAGGCCTGAGCCACTGTGCCCGACCAGCAAGACTAACTTCAAACACTCGACCCTTGAGGCCATCAGAGGCAATTTTGGTTCCTTGGGTCCTGGTGACTAGCATCTTTCCAATATTTCTTATATTGAACATAGCAGGTGCTTTCATGTCATACGAATCTTCCTTAGGAAATGGATCAACCACTTTCTTCTTGGCTCCCTTTTTGCCGCCTTTCGTAAGGCGCTTGTTTTTGCTGACCGCCATGGTACTGCTCAGAGAGCCAAAAGACACAGAGGACTTCTTCAAAAGGTTTTATATCTCTACGGGTGGAACTTCCATGCTGCAGGATACGTGTTGGGGTAGTACACTTCCTCCAAGCCCCCAAAGCTACCAAGGCACAAGCTCCCGTGGCTTTTGTTTTGCTAGATGGTCAGGGCCTGCTTATTTATCTCCCCCCTTTATACTGAATTCAAGAACAGTGTCTCTTCTTTCTATATCCCTGTGCCTAGTACAGTGTCTGGCAAGCAGTAGATCCTTTAAAGTATTTTTGATGAATGAATGAATGAATGAGGTGAAAGCAAGTGAACCATGACTGTCCCCATACTGGATATTATAGTTAATTATTTACTCTACTTAAACCCCACCTACATCCCAAAATAATGTAAACATAATACAACATAAAAATAATATAGGCCAGGCGCAGTGTCTCATGCCTGTAATCTCAGCACTTTGGGAGGCCGAGGCAGGCAGATCACCTGAGGTCGGGAATTCCAGACCAGCCTGACCAACATGGAGAAACCCCATCTCTACCAAAAGTATAAAATTATCCAGGCATGGTGGCACATGCCTGTGTCCTGGGAGGCTACTTGGGAGGCTGAGTTAGGAGAATCACTTGAACCTGGGAGGCGGAGGTTGCGGCGAGCCGAGACCATGCCACTGCACTCCAGACTGGGTAAAAAAAAGCGAAACTCCGTGTCTAAATAAATAAATAAAATAATAATATAACAGAATTAAAGTTAAATTTTAAGGGAAGAAAGAAGAGACACACAGTCTCCTGGATATTTCCCCCAACACACACACAGGATGCTTACTTTCACCACCGCATGCCCGCTTCAGTGGCGTCCCTGCATTATCATCGTTCTTGGGCCCCTTGCAGTGGCTAGTGAGCAGCTGCACTCACATTGGTCCCCTTCTCCTGCCTTCCCAGGTGACCCTTTAGGAGTCTGCATAGATTTTTCCCTCAGAGATTCCTCTAGGGGAACTGTAAGGGTGTCTTTTTTTTTTTTTTTTTTTGAGACAAATTTTCACTCTTGTCACCCAGGCTATATTGCAGTGGCACTATCTTGGCTCACTGCAACCTCCACCTCCCGGGTTCAAGCAATTTTCCTGCCTCAGCCTCCCAAGTAGCTGGGACTAGAGGTGCATGCCACCATGCCTGGCTTTTTTTCTATTTTTTTTGTAGAGACAGGAGTTTCACCATGTTGGCCAGGCTGGTCTGGAACTCCTGACCTCAAGCGATCTGCCCACCTCAGCCTCCCAAAGTGCTGGGATTACAGGCATGAGCCACTGTGCCCAGCTGGGAGTCTTATGTCAAGGATATGAAGAAAGAAAGGATATAACCTTTCTATAAGGTTTTAGGACCATTCAGATGCAGAGTGAATAGGCACACAGTGTCCGTGTTTTGCCTGAGCTTCCCATAATAAGAGACCAAAGCATGTTGGGAAGCTGGCACCAAGAGAAACTTCTGAAAAAACCAACTTCTCGAAACTTGGGATGTCGAGAAGCTCTGTTCATGGAAGACAGTGTGGCAATTTGGAAGACAGTGTGGTGATTCCTCAAGGACCTAGAAATAGAAATTCCATTTGACCCAGCTATCCCATTACTGGATATATATCCAAAGGATTATAAATTGTTCTATTATAAGGACACATGCACACAAATATTCATTGCGGCACTGTTTACAATAGCAAAGACTTGGAACCAACCCAAATGCCCATCAATGATAGACTGGACAGGGAAAATGTGGCACATATACACCATGGAATACTATGCAGCCATAAAAAACGATGAGTTTGTGTCCTTTGTAGGGACATGGATGAACCTGGAAACCATCATTCTCAGCAAACTGACACAAGAACAGAATATCATACACAACATGTTCTCACTCATAAGCGGGTGTAGAACAGTGAGAACACATGGACACAGGGAGGGGAGCATCACACACTGGGGTCTGTTGGGGGGAAATAGGGGAGGGACAGCAGGGGTGGGGAGTTGGGGAAAGATAGCATGGGGAGAAATGCCAGATATAGGTGATGGGGAGGAAGGCAGCAAACCACACTGCCATGTGTGTACCTATGCAACAATCTTACGTGTTCTTCACATGTACCTCAACATCTAAAATGCAATTTTTTAAAAAAAAAGCTCTGTTCCGATTCCCTTGTCCTCTGGAGCATCACATGCAACTGCAGTATCACATGGGAAGTTTTTCTACAACCAGATGCTGAGACAAGCAGGCAGGAGGCAGGACCTGTGGGAGAATGCAGCTCCAGGGACCGAGCTCCCTCCAGAACCAAGAAGGTGCCACTCCTCAGTATTGTCCCCACCGATGGGAGCCAGATTCTCCTGCTGGCTTCTGTGGGGTCTTAAAGAGATAAATACTATAAGCATTTAGAACAATTAGAAGTTTGGTTTTTTTTTATTTTGAGATGGAGCCTTAGTCTGTTGCCCAGCCTGGAGTGCAGTGGCGTGATCTCTGTTCTCTGCAACCTCCGTTGGGTTCAAGCATTTCTCCTGACTCAGCCTCCAGAGTAGGTGGGATTACAGGTGCCTGCCACCACGCCTGGCTAATTTTTGTATTTTTAGTAGAGACAGGGTTTCACCATGTTGGCCAGGCTGGTCTCAAACTCCTGACCTCAAGTGATCCTCCCGCCTCAGCCTCCCAATGTGCTGGGATTACAGGCATGAGCCACTGAACGTTTATTTTAAATTTAGTTTCCCATTTAATTCAATGAGATTTATCTTTTTCAAGACAGAGTCTTGCTGTGTCACCCAGGCTCATGCAATGGCATGATCATCGCTCACTGCAGCTTTGAGCTTTGGGGTTCAAGTGATCCTCCCACCCCGGCCTCCCAAGTTCCCAGGACTACAGGCGTGTGGCCTCATGTCTGACTAATTTTTAAGAAATCTTTTGTAGAGATGAAGTCTCACTATATTGCCCAGGCTGTTCTCAAACTCCTGGACTCAAGCAGTCCTCCCACCTTTGCCTCCCAAAGTATTGGGATTACAGTAAGACACTGTGCCCGACCCTAGATGAGTAACTGAGCTTTTAGCAACATCACTGCTACAGGAATCATAGTTGTAGAGGACTTAGTTTAATCTTGTATTGCTAAAAGCCATGATTTATCAGTTATGATGCTTTTGATTGTAAGTGACTATATTTGTCAGGGTTCTCTAGAGGGACAGAACTAATAGGATATACGTATATACAAACGGAAGGTTATTAAGGAGAATTGACTTACACAATCACAAGGTAAAGCCCCACAATAAGTAGTCTGCAAATTGAGGAGCAAGGAAGCCAGTGGAGGATCAGTCCAAGTCCCAAAGCCTCACAAGTAGGGAAGCTGACAGTGCAGCCTTCAATCTGCGGCCAAAGGGCCAAGAGCTCCTGGCAAACCACTGCTGTAAGTCCAAGAGGCCAAAAGCTGAAGAACTTGGAGTCTGATGTTCGAGGGCAGGAAGCATCCAGCACAGGAGGTAGATGAAGGCCGGAAGACTCGGCAAGTCAAAGACCTTCTACGTTCGTCTGCCTGTTTCATTCCAGCCACTCTGGCTGCTGATTAGCTGGTGCCTACTCAGGTTGTGGGTGGGTCTGTCTCTCCCAGTCAACTAACTTAAATATGAATCTCTGTTGGCAGCATCCTCACAGACACACCCAAGAACAGTATTTGCATCCTTCAGTTCAATCAAGTTCACACTCAGTACTAACCATCACAGTAACAAACTGCAAATCAATTTGAATAAGAAAATTTATTTTATTAGAAGAAAGAAAAGAGGTACACTAAGTTCCAGAGCTGTTGATTCAGCAGCTCAAAGATGTCATCAATGGTCCAAGACCTCTCTGCTCTCCTATCTGAAGTAGCCTCACCCTGGGGCTGAGAGTGTGATGGCTGCGGTGTAGTGTAGAGTGAGACGGTTGTAGACCTAAAATCCAGAGGGAAACGAGAAACTACCTCTTCCTGTGGTTTCTTTTAGGAGTGGAAACTTTCCCCAAAAGTTCCCTCATCACATTGTTTTGTTTTGTTTTTTTTGAGAGGGAGTCTCTCTGTCTCCCAGGCTGGAGTGCAGTGGCACAATCTCAGCTCACTGCAACTTCCACCTCCCAGGTTCAAGCAATTCTCCTGCCTCAGCCTCCCTAGTAGCTGGGATTACAGGCATATGCTACTGTACTCGGTTAATTTTTATATATTTTTTCATACTAAGTTTTATTGTATGCTGCTGCCAGTGTATATAAAACAATTACCCTTGTGAAATAGAAATTCATGAAAATTCAGAGAGGTAGATGTTAAGGACTGACGGAAGTAAGAGTTTGTATATTATGGCACATGTGTTCGAGGGATCAGCTTTTGCACAGGCTTCAAATGTAGCTTTCTTGAATATTCACTGGATCCTAAGAAGTGGTTTGGGAAACCTTTGGAAGATTCATTTTACTACAAAAAGGAACAGACTTTCTGGGGTCTTAAGGGATTTGTTCTTGAAGATATCCCAGTCAGCAGACGATCATGTTGAGCATTCTGCAGAGAGAATTGTTTCAAGTCTGTAGCTGCCTGGGAAAGTTTTACGTGGTTGAGCCTGGCCTCCAGCTGGAGCTTTTGAACCACTTTCTTCATAGCAGCAACACTGCAGGAGCCAGGCATGGTATAAGGGAGGGACGGGTGGAATTCGTGGGTCGGTGGATTATGGGCTGTGGGTCGGTGGGGCCAGACAACTGAGCGGTGCCTAATTTTGGTATTTTTAGTAGCGATGGGTTTCACCGTGTTGGCCAGACTGGTCTCGAACTCCTGACCTCAGGTGATCTGCCCACCTTGGCCTCCCAAAGTGCTGGGATTACAGGCATGAGCCACCGTGCCTGGCCCATCAGATTTTATCTCACATTACATTATCTAGAATAAGGTCATAGCTTAAGCTAAATTATGCTCTAGTAGGAAATACTCCTCAACTATCAGCAGTTTCAGATTGCAAAGGTATATTTCTTGCTTCATGCAAAGTATGTTGTGGTTCCAGAGACTTTCTGGGGCAGCTCACTCCGTGAGTTGGCTCAGAAATCTTGTGGACACCTGCATCTCCATTCTTTCACAATCCTTATGGCAGATGGGGAGTGGTGGAGGGTCTTGCACAACTGTTTCATGCTGAATCTCTGAGTGATACTTGTCATTTTTGTTCATGGCTCATCAATCATATGGCCCCATTTGATTGCAAGTATATGGAAAAGTATTGTCTTCCTATGTCCTAAGGAAAGACAGTAGAATCAGATGTGGAGGACACTGAAAAATCTCCAGCACCTTCCCTAATCCTGACCAGTCACCAGAGAAGGTGGCGGTAGGAGGGTAGTGGAATAAGATTAGGCTACTCTTCTAAGGTGGGATGAATGTTGAGGAATAAATCATAAATCCACTCCAGGTGGTCTGACAAGAAAACAAATATAAACCTTTTAGATCTTAGAAGATGACACAAACGAAAAACTAGTTTACTCTGTATTGCCCATGTATTGATTACCCAATCTCTGATTTGATCATCAGAAAAAAGAATGACAAATCCAGTCACCTGTGTTAGACTCTTACCTGACACACTACCACTCACCACCTGAAAAGTTCCTTCTGCCTAAACAATTTGAATTTGGAGACACAGATGTTGCATACAACATCAGCGTTCATTTCATTTGCACATCACAGTTTAACATTTGAGGGTTCATAAAATGGTTTTTGATCCTACAGAACAATCTTTATTAACGTAAAACTCTATTTAATCTCTAGCAATCAAATTCAGTCTCAAATATGAGGAAGAAATTAATGGGCAACTTTTGGAAACTCTTTTTCTTACAAAACCAACACAGGACACTTTTTTTTTTTTTAATGGGGGTTTCTCATGGCCTCTCAGTTTTTCAAAATGAAACCTGGCTTCTTCTTCTCTAAAAGGTAGCCTCTGCCACATTTGACCCAGCAATCCCATTACTGGGTATATATCCAAAGGATTATAAATCATTCTACTATAAGGACACATACACACGAATGTTCATTGCAGCACAGTTTACAATAGCAAAGACCTGGAACCAACCCAAATGCCCATCAATGATAGACTGGACTGGGAAAATGTGGCACATATACAACATGGAATATTATGCAGCCATCAAAAACAATGAGTTCATGTCCTTTGTAGGGACATGGATGAACCTAGAAACCATCATTCTCAGCAAACTGACACAAGAACAGAAAATCAAAAATCAAACACCACATGTTCTCACTCATAGGCGAGTGTTGAACAATGAGAACACATGGACACAGGGAGGGGAGCATCACACATTGGGGTCTGTTGGGGGGAAATAGGGGAGGGACAGCGGGGGGGGGAAGTTGGGGAGAGATAGCATGGGGAGAAATGCCAGATATAGGTGAAGGGGAGGAAGGCAGCAAATCACACTGCCACGTGTGTACCTATGCAGCAATCTTGCATGTTCTTCACATGTACCCCAAAACCTAAAATGCAACAAAAAAATAAATAAAGCCATACATCTATTAACACTTAAAAAAAAAGCAAAAGAAAAACGCTTTTTTTGGTCTTGGCCATTCAGTAACCAGCTGCATCAAAAATCCCTAGAGAATTTTAAACCTCCCTTCTTCACCACCACCACCACCACCACCACACACAGTAAATAAATAAATGTAAGTGGAAGAAACTGGCACCTAGAGATTCTGCTTGGTGGCTCTAGAATGTGGTTCGGGAACCTGCACGTTTAAAAAGCCTCTCAAATGATCATTATGTGCTTCTGGTTTACATCCCAGCTGTCTGTCAACAGGCAAAGGGTCTCTTATTGACAGTTATTTTCTTCACCTGACGGTGAGTTTATCTAACAAGTCGTGGTTCTCATTAGGTTTTTAGGGCAACACAGTGATCTTTATTGAGCCTGATAGAATAATAAATCCAGTTGGCCGGTCACTTTATTGTGTGCAAGTCTAGTTCGTTTCTTGACACTATTCGGATGAGTCAGAGGTGGATGTTTCTGAAGGAAAATAGATCCTTCTTTCTGGTTTGACTTTGTGTAGAATGAATTTTAATGTAACTGAGCCCACCAGTACTATAGCTTTTTCTCTTTATAAATGAAAGTGGTTGCCAGTATTCTTGCTTGCCTTTTACAGTAGCAAACATTTTGTGATAAAAACCTTGCTTCTATTCTCTGTATGTCAGTTTATTCGTCTGTAAAGTAGAGACAATAATGACATCTATTTTTATAAGGGATTGTTAAAAATTAAACAAGAGAGGCCAGGCACGGTGGCTCACACCCATAATCCCAGAACTTCGGGAGGCTGAGACAGGCAGATCGCCTGAAGTCAGGAGTTTGATACCAGCCTGGCCAACATAGTGATACCCCATCTCTACTAAAAATACAAAAATTAGCTGGGCATGGTGGTGGGTGCCTGTAATCCCCGCTACCCAGGAGGCTGAGGCAGGAGAATCCCTTGAACCTACGAGGCAGAGGTTGCAGTGAGCTGAGAACACACCACTGCGCTACAGCCTAGGTGACAAGACCAAAACTCTGCCTCCAAAAAAGAAAATAAGACAGAACAGAGTACCTGGAAATAGACCCACATACACATATCTCCAATCAAATTTTGACACAGATGCAAAAGAAATTCAATAGAAGAAAGAGAGCCTTCAACAAATGGTGCTGGAGCAATTAGACATCCATAGGCTGGCTGTTCCTGATACAAAGATTAATTCAAAATGGATCACAAACTTAATAAATGGGAAAACTATACAACTTCTAGAAAAGTACAGGAGAAAACCTTTAGGATCTAGGATTAGGTAAATAATTCTTTTTTTTCTTTCTTTCTTTTTTATTTTTTTAAGAAGGGGTTTCACCATGATGGCCAGGCTGGTCTTGAACTCCTGACCTCAGGTGATCCACCCACCTCCGCCTCCCAAAGTGCTAGGATTATAGGCGTGAGCCACCACGCCTGGTGCAAATAATTCTTATACTTGACACCAAAAGCATGATCTCTTAAAAAAAAAAAAAGATAAATTGTACTTAGTAAAAATTTAAATTTTCTTCTATGAAAGACACTATTAAGAAGATGAAAAAACAAGCTGCGGAGTGGGAGGAGCTATTGCAAATCACTTACCCTGCAGAGATAAGTAATAACCTAGTATCTAGAATAGAAAAAGAACTTTCAAAACTCCACAGTAAAAGCAACCAACCAACCAAACCATTTTCTTCACCAAAATGAAGAGCAATATTACAATAGAAAATGGGAAAAAGACATGAAGAAACATTTCATCCTGCAGGATACACAAATGATAAACAAGCACATGAAACCATATTCAACATCTGCCATTAGGGAAATGTAAAATACAATCACAGTGAAACACCAGTATATACCTATCAGAAAAAAATAGTGACAACACCAAATGCTGATGAGGATGTGGAGAAACTGGACAGATCGGACATGCTGGGCATGTAAAGCAGTTTGGCAATTGTTCAGGAACCTAAACATGCAACAACGGTACAACCCAATAATTGTATTCCTGTTTGTGTATAAATACCTGCCTCCCAGGTATTTATTCCCGGGAGGTGAATACTTACTTACATCTACACACAAACCTGTACACCAATATTTACAGAAGCTTTATTCATGTAGTCAAACATTGGGACAGGTGGATGGTTAAACTGTGGTACTTCCGGACCATGGAATGCTACTCAGCAATAAGGAGGAATGAACTGTTGATACATACAGCAATCTTGATGGATCTTCAGACAATTATGCTGAGTGGGGCGGGGATTGGGGGAATCACACATTACATGTTGCATATTTCCACTCATACAACATCAAATTCAATGGCTAGGCAGGGTGGCTCACGCCTGTGATCCCAGCACTTTGGGAGGCTGAAGTGGGCGGATCACCTGAGGTTGGGGGTTCGAGACCAGCCTGGAGAAACCTTGTCTCTTCTAAAAATACAAAATTAGCAAGGCATGGTGGTACATGCCCGTAATCCTAGCTATTCGGTAGGCTGAGGCAGAAGAATCGCTTGAACCCGGGAGGCGTAGGTTGTGTTTAGCTGAGATCGCACCACTGCACTCCTGCCTGGCGGGCAACAAGAGCAAAACTCCATCTCAAACAACAACCACAAAAACACCCAAATTTATAGAAATAGAGAACAGACTAGTGGTTGCCAAAGGTTTAGGAGGTATGGGGGTGACAGGGAAGTAGGTTTGGCTATAATAGGATAAGACAGTGGTCCCCAACGTTTTTGGCACTAGGGACCTGTCTAATGGAAGATAATTTTTCCGCGGAGTGCAGGGGGATGATTTCAGAATGATTCAAGTGCATAACATTGATCAGATTCTCATAAGGAGCACGCAGCCTAGATCCCTCACGTGTGGTTCACGATATGGTTTGCACTCCTGTGAGAATCTAATGCCACCAGTGAACTGACAGGAGGCAGTGATTCGAGTGATGGGGAGGAGCTGTAAATACAGATGTGGCTATGCTCGCTTGCCCTCTGCTCACCTCCTGCAGTGTGGCCCCATTCCTAACAGGCCACGGACCAGTACTGGGTTGGGGACTTCTTTTATAAGGGATCCCTTGGTGATGAAAATATTGCGCATCTTGACTGTGTCAATGTCAGCATCCTTGTTCCAACTTTGTTCTGTGGTCCTGCAACATTTCCCTATTGGGGGAAACTAGGCAAAGGACACATAGGATCTTTTTATTTCCTACAATTGCATGTGAGTCTACAATTATCTCAAACTACAAAGTTGAATTAAAAAATTAAATGAGGCTGAGCATGGTGACTCACACCTGTAATCCCAGCACTTTGGGAGGCCTAGGCGGGTGGATCACCTGAGGTCAGGAGTTTGAGAC